TAGAAATTAATGCAAATTTATATCAATAGTCACTTTCTACATCAGCAGTCTAAATGCACCAAATAAAAGATAAAGATTATCAAAGTGGACCAAAAAACAAGACCCAAGAATTTGTTGGCTACATGAAACACACTTTAAATAGAAAGACACACATAGAATAAAAGTAGGTGGATGGAGGAAGATATGCCAGACTAACACTAATCAAAAGAAAGCAGGAACAGTTATATTAATTTCACTCACAGCAGAGATAAAAACAAACTTATCAAGGATAAAGAAGGGCATTATATAATGGTCAAGGGTCAATTCTCCAAGACACAACTATCCCTAGCTTGTCTGCACCTGACAATTGAGAATCAATAAATGTGAGGCAAAACACAATGGAATGGCAAAGAGGAATATGGATCCAATTCCATAGTTGGTGATTTCAACACCCCTCTCAGATGTGGACAGATCCAGCAGGCAAAAAATCGGGAAGGACATAGATGAAACCACTGACACCATCAATCAACTGGATATAACTGACATCTGCAGACAAGTTTATCCAACTACAGCAGAACACACATGATCCTCAAGCTCACATGGAACATTCACCAAGATGGACCACATGCAGGGCTATAGAGCACAAATAACACATGCAAAGGAGTCGAAATCATACAGTGTCTATTCTCAGAACAGAGCGGGATTTCACTAGAAATCAACAACAAAAGATAACTGGAAAAGCCCCAAAATACATGGAGATTAAACATATTCTAAGTAACACATCGTAAAAGAAGAATTCTCAAAATAAATTTAAATTTGGAGTAAATGAAAATGAAAACACAATATGTCAAAATCTGTGGGATGCGGCAGAAGCAGTGTTTAGAGGTAAATTTATAGCATTAAATGCATATATTAGAAAATAATAAAGATATAAAATCAATAATCTAAGTTTCTACCATAGAAAACTTGGAAAAGAAAAGCAAATGCAAAGTAAGGTGAAGAAAAGAAATTAAAAAAAAAAAAAAAAAAACCAGAAAGCGATATAATTAAAAACAAAAATCCACAGAGAAAATCCACAAAGAAAAAGTTGGTTATTTTAAAGATCAATGAAATTTAAAACCTGTTGCTGGGCCAACTAAGAAAAAAGAGTGAGGACACATATTATTAATATCAGAAATGAAAAGGGGACATTGCTACAGATTCCGTGGATAATAAAAGAATAATAAAGGAGTACTTTGAATGTCTCTATGCTCCAAATTTGTTAACCTAGAGGAAATGGACCAAGTCCTCTAGAGACACAATCTGCCAAAACTCATGCAAGAAGAAACGGACAATCTCAACAGAGCTATCTATGTTAAATATTGAATCAATAATTCATGACATTCCAAAACAGAAATCATCAGGCCCAGATAGAGTCATTGATGAATCTGGCCAAACATTTAAGGAGTAAATTATACCAATTCTCTTCAATCTCTTCAATGACAGTGGCAGAGGGAATACTGGCTAACTCACTCCATGAGACCAGGATCACCCAGCACCTAAACCAGACAAAGACATTACAAGACAAGACAACCACAGGCCAATATCTCTCATGAGCATAGATGCAAAAGTCCTCAACAAATATTAGCAAACTCACAATGTATAAAAAGAATTATCCACCAGGAGCAAGTAGGATTTCTATCAGGTCTACAAGGCTGGTTCAACATTTGAAAGAAATTAGTATAATCCATCAATAGATAGTAAAACATCAAATGATCATGCCAACAGATGCAGAAAAACTATTTGACACAATCCAACACCCATTCAGGGTAAAAATTCTCGGTAAATTAGGAATAAAGTGGAAATTCGTCAACCTTATAAAGAAGATCTGCAAACAACTAAAGCTAACGTCATACTTAATGGTGAGAAACTAGACACTTGCCCTCTAAAATTAGGAAAATGCAAGGATGTCTAGTCTCACCAATCCTCTTCAACACTGTCCTGGAAGGTGACACTAATGCAATAGGACAAGAAAATGAAATAAAATGTACACAGATTGGGAAAGAAGATTGTGAGTTTTTCAAATACATTAAAAACCTATCTGAGTACATAAATCTAACTTTTGACGTAGTAAGAAAGAGTAGAAACTGATGCAGTAGAAAAATCATAGAGAGATTTTGAATGATGTGTTGCAATGCTGTAGACATACAGAGGTGTCATCCTGGTAATAACAAAATACTCAAACATGTTTGAAAAAGAAAATGTCACTAAAATTAACAAAAAGTCCGTATAGAAATGAGAAAGACATAATGCACATGTACTCACTATGGATCAAGGTAATACTAATGATGATGACACATTAAACCCATCACGTAAAGGAAAGAAACAAAATAACATATATATAGCACCTCAATCAATGGAGTGTAGAATTAGGTGCTTCACATTTATTTCTGAACAAGTATGTATTTTGACACCTTTTTAGAGGGACATTTGACATTTTCTCCTCAAATAAATATTCAAAAGTATGATTGTAACAATATCATTCCCAAAAATCTATTCCATAAGTTCTTGTGACTTATTATTGATGGTGGCCTCTTTACTTACTACACAATTTTGATTCGGAATAATTATATGTTTACAGATAATTGTGAATAAAATACACAGTGTTCCCACATACCGATCTCCATATTCGCTACTGTTAATATCTTACATAAATAAGGTACAAGTTATAACACATTCACATCAGTACGTTTCTGACTATCCCCCAGAATCGAGTCTGAGTAGCATGTTTCAGTGGAGATGAAGACAGTGGGAGAATGCTGTGGAGTCCAGAGCCCATTCTGCCCCACAGGTGTCCAGGAGTGCCTGTGCTGTGCTTCCGTCGGGACCCAGGAAGCCCAGGTGCCCAGACTCAGGAGCAGGCACGGGGGGAGGCTGAGGAGGGAGTTTACTCTCAGTGTGGGGCTTCCTCTCTCCCTGCACGTCCACTGCCTCAAGATCTGGGGTGATTTCTTGTCTTTCAAACCCAGAAGTTAGTGCTTTAGAGTGACCATCTCTCTCCTGTTGGCAGAGAGCAGAGTGTCAAGAGGAACTAGTTAGACACTCTGACTTTCCCTCTGGACCTTGGTCAGTGTCCTGGGAGCCCCTGGACCACCCCAGTATCTTTCCCCATCTGACTCAGAGACCCAAGGGAGATTACCTAACAGTGTGCCTGTTTGGGGATCAGGAGAGAACAAAGAGATGTTATGTGGTGGATTAGAGAAATAAAAATGGTGAAATATCCTTTCTGTTGACTTTAAAATCTCTCCTCTTCATTTAAATCATGCAGATGGTGTCCAGACGTTACCATGAGAAACACCTACTTGCCCTCTTTGTTCTCTTCTCTAGTTTTATGTTTCTAACTGCTCCTTCTTCCCCTGTTTCTGGTTCTTCCTCCAGAACAGAGGTGGACGGCTCTCCCAGGGTCATAGGGCTCAGACCTACCCACCAGCCCAAGCCCCGTGAAATCTGAGCTCAGCTTCTGTGCATCTCCCTGAGCAAGGAGCAGCGAGACCTGGGTTAGTCCTGTCCTGGGATGGGGTCACTGCTCTCCACTCCAGGTTGGGAATGGCCATGGTCATTCAATCCCAACAGAATGGATCCATATAGACAACGAGGAAATGAGGACGGGGCTGTATCGTCTTGAAACAAACACCCGTGAGACTCAAACAGCCCCACGGCCACCTCCCCAGAGTCTCTGACTTCCAGGAATGGTGTCACTTGGCTTTTGTTTCCATCAGTAAGAAAGAATAGAGAGACCTAAATCCTAAGAATAAGATGTGTGCTGCCTGGTTCCTACAACAATTGTTGAGAAGGAGACATAGATTCCCTCTGCAGCCCTTCTCAGGACCCTCCAGAAACTCATCCCCATCAATAGATTTTGTCCTTTTTAGATATTATTGAAGATCTTGTAAAAGTTGGAAGACAGTTATTATATAGCTACTCTAATTAGGACTATGGGCATTGAGGAGGAGAGACACACAGATCAATGGAACAGAATATGTGTGAAGGGATGTTTCTTAGACATGAGACAGAAGGCTCAGATCATCAAAGAGGAATATATTGATTTCCACGAGAACTAAAGAACATTATTGATATTTTAAATTTTATTTTAAGAAAATTGATGGGATGCAACAGATTAGAAAAATATGATTAAAACACACATATCTTTAAGGAATTGGAAAGAGACTATATAACTAATATTTACTACCCAATAAAAGTAAACAATGCATAATTATTAAATTTCCCACATCAATAAACAAGGGTCTCTGAGCCTGCCTATGCTTTGAACAGTTACTCAGATCCGAGCGAAGTCTGAAGTGGTTAAATTAAAGTAAATAGAACCTGGGGAGAACCGTCTTTCACTTTGCAATTATATTTACAGCAAACTTGAAATCAAAATTTTCATATGAAATTACATTAATAAAAATCTGGCAAATATGTATATGTGTAATGTGTTGGGTTTCAGAATGCTCAGAAAATAATGATGCTCCCTTGTAATATCAATTTGAAAGATCTAAAAGTTAAAAAGTTTGCAATCCACTCAACTAGTCCAGCATTTATTCTTATGCTCAGAAAGATGGGTTTGTCCTTTGTTCTGGATCCAATGCACCTTATAGGCTAAGTGCTCTCCCAACCAGACTTACGCATAACTCGTATTCAAGAGAAGAGACCCCATAGGCGTCCCATAGAACCCAGTGAGCCTGACCTCAGTCCCTCCCCACTTACAAGGTCAGGGCTCCCCACATGCAAATTTCTCCTCAAGCTCTAGAGTAAAATCCACTCTCAGGCTGTGGGAGCTCACAGCTCTCTCCTCAGACAGGGCTGACGTCTCTGGGGAAGGCAGAGCTGTGGTCTAGAAGAAGATGAGACTGTTGGGTCTTCTCCTTTGCCTGGTGACGGCTCCCCAAGGTGAGTGTCTCAGGTGTCAGACCTGGGTCTGTGGTGAGGGTTGTGACTGAACTTTACTGACAGGGACTGATTCTTATTATTCCCAGGTGTCCTGTCTGACCTGACATTGCGGGAATCGGGCCCAGGACTGGTGAAGCCCTCGCAGACCCTCTCCCTCACCTGCACTGTCTCCGGGGCCTCTGTCACCAGCAGTTACTACTGGCATTAGGTCCGCCAGAGCCCTGGGAAAGGCCTGGAGTGGATGGGGTACTGGTCAGGGAGCCCAAGCTACAACTTGGCTTTCCAGAGCTGCATATCCATCCCTGCTGACACGTCCAAGAACCAGTTCTCTCTGCAGCTGAGGTCTGTGACCACCGAGGACACGGCCGTGTATTACTATGCAACAGACACAGTGAGGGGAAGTCAGTGTGAGCCCAGACACAAACCTGCCTGCAGCAGACAGGAAGAGTGGGTTGCAAGAGACGCTCAGCACCACCAGGGGGTGCTCAGGGCCCACAGACCAGAGAGACCAGGCCCAGAAGCAGGTGCAGAGCAAGGTGGGGAAGCGGCTTCCTGTGCCATCAGTAATTTCCCCTCCAGGCTCTCAGTTGTCCCTGGGGACAATTTGCTTTTTTTTTTTGGGCTCTGATTTCTCATATTCTCAGTGCAGCCATCAAATGAGGAGGTAACATTGTCTGTTTGCAGACGAGATCACCAGTGAGTAGGGACATTTCATTCACCAAGTTCCTGTTAGTCCTGTTTTTCCTTCTTGACAAAGAGAGACATCACCACAGTCCAGGCACCTGTGTCCTGAGCTCAGGCTCTCTACCCCCACAACACACACTGTCCCCACATGCCCTTCTTTCACACAGGCACACGTGACCCCACGGGGTTACTATCAACGCCCCCCAGGACCCCTACCCCACAGGGTCACCGTCTCTCCTACAGCACTTTAACCTCTTGCTCCTCGTTTACTCGGGTGGATGTGGAAACCCACCCCAACCTCCCTCTGCCTTCTACAGTCTAGATTCTCACTGAATCTGTGCTAGACCCTGAGCTCCATGGAGATGGAGCCCTGCTCAATCTTCCCAGCTCTCCCCACAGCACCAGGCTCAGAAAGAAGTGTCAATAAAGATCTGGGCGTTAATGTGCACTCACTTCTCCTCCTAACATCCAACTAATGTCTCTGTCTACTTGTGGACACCCCAGAGCCCATTACTCTCAAGTGGTCTGGATCCTGCTTGATTGCCATGCTGAGCTCCCACGTCGTGCACAGCTATGATTCAAGGTCACAGAGGCACTATTGCAGGACAAGCCTGTGTTAGGTGGGGACAAAGCCAGATGCTGACCCCCAGGCATCTCTAACACATTATGACAGAGGATGTGCAGGTGGACACACCAGCTGCAGAGCATCATGTTGGACCTCACATGAGTGACCATGGTGAGAAAGAAGTCAGGGAGCAGAGTGGGTGTGCTGGTCACCTCTCAAGTCTCAATGACCAGCCCACATATATAGTCAGACATTTGTGAGCTAAAATTATGGAAAAGACATGAAGTGGGACAGAGAGAGAGGTACGCAGTTGGGAATATATTTAGGGAAAAATTAAATAAAATAAGGGCAAATTAGTTAAATGTACTACTTAAGAAGATGGATAAATAATAGATAATAATATAATATTACTCAGTGCAAATATTTTAAAAAATATCATTTTCCAACTTTTCTTTATACTCACATTCTCTAAAAGTATCAGTCAATTTGATGGTACACTTAAGGTACTAACCACAAAAACTTGCACACATAGTATCAACCAGCTGTACTCCAACTTTTGCAATTAAAAAGCACATTGTAAATGCTGCAGGGTGCTCTCATTGTCTGTCCACATATTGCTGTTCTCTTCTAAGAGCAAAGACATTAAATGTGAGCTCTTCCTCCCAAAGACTTCGGTGGATGGAAAGAAAACTTGATAATGTGCCAGCATCATGCAGCCTGTGTGCCTAAGAGCGACCACTAAGGGGCACGTCACTTCCACAATCCCTAACAGGGACACCTGCTGGGATGAGGCCCAACATGGTCTTACCAGAAAAAAAAAGACACTTTCTTGTTGCAGAATTAGGATAAAGATTTGAGAGGCTTCTAATGCCATTTGACTGAAGAGAATTCAAAAATAGGGATTTTGCCTTAATTAGAAGTGTAATGCTCTGCTCTCAGTCATTAAATTCTTGAATTTTAGGAACCAACCCCTCATTTATGTTACACTGGGCCCTGACATTGCATAGTCATTTCTGTGGTGGCTTCTTCTTTAGACCCATGGAAAGGTTCTTTGATGTAATGCCTTCCATATTTGGGGATATATGCATTAAGAGGACTAGAAACAGCGTCGATGTCATGAGAACACTTGAGATTTTTAGTTTAGATAACCCCACGTGTTTGGACTTCTCTCTGGGTTGCATAGAATAAGGAGCATTTTGAGCTTCCCACGGAAGTATCTGCCTCTTTTATTCTGAAGAACATTTCTACATCCACTACTAGTGGGGATGGTCAAGGATCCCTACCCAAGGTGAACAGGATTAATTCACTACATTGTGTAGGCATTTCACCTATTGAGAACTATTCATTTTTTATTGAGGTCACGATAGTTTACAATGTTGTGAAATTTCCGTTGTACATTATTATTTGTCAGTCACAATACATGTGTGCCCCTGAATTCACACTTTGTGTCCACCTCCCAGCCCACTTCCCCTGGTAACCACTAATCTGTATTCTCTGTCTGTGCATTAGTTTATATTCTACACATAAATGAAATCATGTGGTGTTGGTCTCTCTCTGTCTGGCTTATTTTGCTTAACATAATACCCACAAGGTACATCCATATTGGGAATGGGACAATTTGTCTTTTTTTATGACTGAGTAGTATTCCACCGTGTGTGTGTGTGTGTGTGTGTGTGTGTGTGTGTGTGTGTAAATCACATCTTCTTTATCCAATCATCAGTCGATGGGCACTTGGGCTGTTTAACCTTCTTGGCTATAATGAATAATGCTGCAATGAACATGGGGATACATAAGTCTCTTTGAATTGTTGACTTCAAGTTCTTTGGATAAATACCCAGTAGTGGGATAGCTGGGTCACATGGTATCTCTATTTTAAATTTTTTGAGAAATGTCCATACTGTTGTCTGTGGAGGCTGCACCAGTTTGCATTCTCACCAGTAGTGCATGAGGGTTCCCTTTTCTCAAAACCTCTCCAACATTTGTTATTTTTTGTCTTGGTGATTATAGCCATTCTAATGGGCTAAGGTGATATCTTGGTGTAGTTTTGATTTCCATTTCCCTGAGTTTACCTAAGAGATCAAATAAAAGAGATCATTTGGAAGGCCCAGCAGAATTCACAGACTAGATCCACTACTTTATAGATGCCTTCGCAAAGCACTCAGTGATACACCCCCAAAATCAAAGCCTGAAGCCTGATCCAATAATAGTGGTAGCTGAGCCCAGAGTCTAGAGAGGAATCTTGGTGCTCGTGCCCTGGTGTGCTCAGGAGTTATGAACAAGGAGCTCTCTGAGGCATGAGTATGTTTTCTAGGCATCCCCATGATTTGTACCAGAGAATAAAGAATGTAATCATTTCTGCCATAAAAATTGGGAGCTGGTAAGGGGTGAACTGCTTCTGGCGGGAATGCAAAGAGGCGCCCCACTTTGGGAAAGTCTGCACCATTCTAATGAGATCTAACCCACAAATGCCATGTGACCCTCAGTTCCAATACTTGTTACATAACTAGGGGGATAAGAACTGATGTTCAGTGCATACAGTTAACAATATTGCACAGTGTAATTAAATTTTCCTTAAGAGGATAGGTCTTATGTTGAATGATCTTATCACAAAACAAGGAGAAAGTGAGGAAACTTTTGGAAGTGATGATTACGTGATCTTATTGGTTGTGGTGATGGTTCTATGGGCTCCATACTTATCTCAAAACTCATCAAAGTGTACACATTAAACATGTATAATTATTGGCATGCCAATCGTATCTCGATTAAAAAAACTTAACAATTATGTTTAAGCAAAACCTGTATGTAGGTATTTACAGGTGGCTTAAATGATACATGCAAAAAATGATACATGCAAGAGCATGGATGAATCTCACGTGCAGTACCCTCATCGCAGAATCCAGCTCCAGAGTCCACACACTGTGTGTCTCCATCCATACACCATGGGATCTGCAATACTAAAGGGACATACAGATGATCAGCGGTTGCCAAGGGCTGTGGAATTGAAAAAGGATTGACTAGAAGAGGAAATAATGTATTTATTTGGAGTGATGGAATTATCCTATAACGTGATTGTGTTGTTGGTTATGTGACTGCTTTGCTTACCATAATTATGTTATAATCCCATGAAAGTCTAATAACCTTGATTGATTAATATTAATAAAATTATATTGAAAAACTATTTTGACTCAACACTGTATTCTGGTCAGTCTTACCTTGGTGATTTTTCAATGATGATGGATAGTGGATTTTTCTATAAATAGATACGTATTCAGTTCAGTTAATGAAAATGACAATTTCCAATGTAGGACTATAGGGTTGAGTGTCTGAGATGGAGTCTATGTTACATTCATGAAGAGAATGAAATCAAGGTTAGTGATGGATAGATTTTGGGAAGTTTTATCCATGTAGGTTCTTCAGTCTTTATAAATTATCAGCAATATTGTTGACCAAAGGACAGTAAACTCCTTGGTAAATCCTTAAGGAATGACAGGGATTTTCCTGAAGGAGGACCATGGACGATGGGCACAAGGATGCTCCTGGTAGGCAGAAGGGTTGCCTGGCATGAGATTTAAAGGATCATAAATATTCAAGTAGAGGGACACTGATAATGACACATGAGGACAGAGCTCTTGCTCCTGAACATCCCAGAGCCCAGGACACCCTCAGAGGTAGGACCCTGAGACCACCTGGAAGAGGAAGCAGGAAGAACCCTGGAGGGGGAGGGGACTGGTCTACAGGAGGCCCTTGACCCTCTGACCACAGGGCCCAGACTGAGGGGCAGGTGCAGAGGGAGGCTGGCGAGTGAGGGGTTTGGTGTCAGGATCTGCAGTTTCCTTTCCTATGAGCAAATCGGTGCATCCGGGCTGTCTCTACTCTCCTGCCTCTGAGCCACAATGTCTCATATAACACCAGATACTGAGAATATGGAACAA